AAAAAAACAAAACAAAACCAAGTTCATCTCTGCAGCCCAAGGGATCCAGCGTGGTTTCTGGCACAAAGAATGAGCTCGCCAGAAATACACACCAGGAAGGGGCCTTGGCACTGTGCTAAGTGCACCATTACTGACCTTGCTTTTTCTAGTCACTGTGCAGGGGATGACAGTCTATCCTAGCTTCCAGACCTACGAGCTGGAGTCATTGCTTCCCATCCTCTTTTCCTTTTTTGTTGAGGTGTGTGTGTGTGTGTGTGTGTGTGTGTGTGTATTTTTGAGACAACATCTCTCGTGGAGCCAAGACTGGCTTCTAACTTGATGTGTAGCAAGGATGATTTTGAATTCCTGAACCTTTGCCTTGACCTTCCAAGAGCTGAATAGTATATATGGGTGCTGGTTTGATTCTGCCATGATTCAAATAGCCCAGAATGGAAACTACCTGGGAAATGCCAAATATTGTGGTGTGTGCCTGTAATACAAGCACTTGGCAGGTGGAGGCAGGAGGATGGAGACTTTGAAGCAAAACTAGCAAGCCTGTGTCAAAAGAGGTGAGGGAAGAACAAGGAAAAGAAGGGAGGGAGACAATGGGGGAGAGGGAAGGAGAGAGGGAAGAAGACTGGTTTTCTGCAAGTGTTCAGAATATAAAGCAGTTTCAAATGGTGACTCAGCTTTTATCACCACCCCTAAGCCAATCCTGTGTGGCATGGCAGATGCTGTCTGGGGCTAGAGGTGACACTGCTTCAACAGTCATTGGAGCGAACACTGATCCTCAGTGCTCAGCAAAGTCCTCCCTCACTCCCCAATCAAGTGTTTTCCTCTCTCCCTACTCTGGCACAAGCTTTCTCTTGCAGTACTTATCACAGCTTGGAATTCAATCCTGGACAAGTTTAGGTATTGCTCAGCTGTCCCCAGCAGTGGTCTCCACTGGGATAGGGTTGTGGTCTCTGTTCACCCCCATAACCTCCATTGGAGCACAGCACTTCACACAACATAGTACCTCAATCAGTATTTGTTGGAGGAAGAATGAGAGTCTCGAACATCACAATAGAAAATCAGGTGAGAATGGAAACTGCTGTGGCCACTATGGAAATCAGTACAGATGTGCCGCAAACACTAAAGGCATCTCAGGCAGCATGCTGCACAGGTCATTTGTACATCCATGTTTACTGCAGCAATACACACAATAGCCAAACTACGGAATCAGCCTAGATGCTACTCACAGATGAATGGATAAAGCAAAAGTGGTAAAATACTCACAATGGAGTTCTTCAGGCAGAAAGAATGAAACGTCCTTTGTAGACAAATGGATGAAACTGGAAATAATGTTAACTGAAATGAGTCAGACTCAAAGGCAAATATCATATCTTCTTTAATATGTAGAATACACATATACACACATATATAATGAATATATATACATAACGAAAGCAGAGATAGGACTACTAGGGAAAGGAAAGGGGTGGGGGTGGAATGTGAGCAAAGTACAATAATATGTATGCATGAAAATGTCATATGAAGCCCATTATTGCAGGCCTGGTGGTACGGCCCTATAATCCCAGCACTTGGGAGGTAGAGGCACAAAGATGAAGAGTTCAAGGACAGCCTAGGCTAGATGAGACTCTAGTTATAAAAAAAGAAAAAAAAAAAATCAACATTGTTTTAGACACTAAAAAAAAGGAAAAAATACAGAAATCACACAATAAAAACATTAATAAAACTTAGTTATAATAGTCTAAACAAAATAGTAAAGGGGAGGTTGCCCAGCATGTACCCAGGAGACACAGAGACTTCTCCCACCTCCGAACTGAGGATGCACTGCTGCGGGGCAATCCTATTTGGCAGTTCATCATGTACTGCCAGGGACCTGGTGTCCATGTGACCTGAATGGCTGCTCAACTTTCTAGTTCTTAACTCACTTTTACTCTGCTCCAATCTTGTTTTCTCAAGGAGACTCTAGACAGAGTATGGCTTAGACAGCCAGGATCCTTTAAGGCTCTCCTAGTATTAATTCATACCACTCTTTGAATAGTGCATCTTCATTTAGTTCCTAAAACATATACTATAATTCTCAGCTTTTGCACATGGGGAAACTAATGCTTGGAGAAATGAAGTTGATTCAAGTTTGTACAGTGAGATTTGAATTCAGATAGCCATGATCCTCTCAGAAACCCTTCCTCCAGTGAACTTTCTGTATCTCACCCATTTTATCATATGCTCTATTGGATTCCATGAGTTTTAACACACATTCATTGAATCAATCAATAATTCTAAGATTTACTGGGTGCTTGCTATAATATTTTGGTCATTGTGGTGACTTTTATTTTATGCATCATATGACAACATATACTACAATTACACAAGTTTTTATTTTTCTCTCAGTCAGTAGTGGCTGTGTCTTTAGAAATGACCTCACTGAACTACAACACAAATCTTGCCTGTGTTGGCCACAAAGCTGGCACTGGGCAGCAATGGGCTTAGTGAATATTTTAAGTGACTATAACAGAAAATCAGATTGAATTTTTAAAATCAATTGCAGGTAGTAAATTAAAGAACATACCACATTTCACCATCATGCGTGGATTACAGTTATGACAATGAAACCAGTTCTTTGGCTGTGTAATCCTCAGCTTTACAAACTATGCAGATAAGCTCTATTTTCTCCCTAAAGTGTAGACAATGTCAAACAAGAAAACCTGAAATACATTGAGATTTCCAGCTAAATTTTCACCTAAATGTTTTTAAAAACAAAAAGGGTACCAAAAAAGAAAACCTGAGGTGCTACTTGAATGCAAAATCTAGAATCTACCTCGGCTGCTGAGTATCCAGCACTAGCTGGAGAAAACCTTGAGTTCTGAGTTTCGTTTTCTATCATCCCCACCATCTTTCGCGGGCCCACCCAAATCGGGAAGATTGGGGTAGCACAGGATTTGTGTTGTTTTGCTAAGTCAGGCCCTTGATTAAAGGGCAGAGAACACTTGTTCTTGATTTCCCAATTCCTGATTCCTGCTAGCAGTACAAAATATGCCCCAGTCAGACTTGTGCACAGCAAACCACAAATTAAAAAGATAGCACAGTGTTCCTTCTGATCTATATACTTTAAGCAAATTTAATATTTACTTTTTCTTTCCTCCAATTTATGTACACTAGCTGTTCGGCCATGAGAAGCAGGCTTGTGAAAGCATTCACTCAGAACTACACACTTTGGGGACATTACTCTGTCTAATTTCCCTCCTGACTTTCATAGAGGCACAACAGTTCAAAGCCTAAGGAGTCAGCCAAAGCACTGTTGTCGAAACACCCAAAACACTCCCAGAGCTTGCACAATCGCCAGGAATTTCCTCACATGGTCAGAGTCTCCCACAGCTAGAGATTTCACCAGCATCACCAACAGAATCTGAATTCACCAAATGGAAAATGAAGAACAGTTCCACGTATAGAATGCTCACCCAGCTTGCAGGAAGTCCTGGGTTCCAACCCCAGCACCACATAAAACTGAGTGTGGTGGCACCCAGAGCTATGTAGTGAGTTTAAAGCCAGCCTGGTCTACATAAGACCCTGTCTTAAGAGAGATGGAGAGAGGTAGGGGAAAAGGAAGAGGAAGAGGAAGGAGAAGAAGGGAGGGAAGAAGAGGGAGAGAGAAAGGGAGGAAGAGAGGGAAAGCACAGAACACGCACCCCCCTCCCCCGCAAGTGCTTCTAGAGTTTCCTAAGATTTTAAAATCTAACAGCATGACAGTTATTCATGGTGGCACTGACCTAATCCTAGTACAAAACAGGCTAAGTCAGGAGGATCTTGAGTGGGAGGCCAGTCTGAGCTACACAGACTAAGGAGCACAGAGGTTCTGAGCTGTGGTCACCTCCACTTTCCCCAGATGTTTCAGAAGAGTGAGGATCCACACAGTCCAGAACTTCGAGTCCCCACCTCAGACACAGCACAACTTCAAGCATTCTCATTTTGCTCAATATAAAAAAGATTCTAATTGGAACTTGTGCAATGCAACCAATTCCCTGTATGGTGAATGATTGGATTTCCCTGCCTACAGACCAGTGCTAAGTCTCTAGCACATAGGACATGAGGAGGTGACCATCCCTTTTTACCTGGTCTCTGCCTAGTATGCTCCTAAATACCTCTCTCTCTCTCTCTCTCTCTCTCTCTCTCTCTCTCTCTCTCTTTGTTTTTTTGCAACAGATCCCACTCTACAGCCAAGGCTAACCTGAAACTAACTTACTTGAAGCACAGGCAGGCCCTGACTCATGGTAGTCCTCCTGCCTCAGGCTCCCAGGTGCTGGGATGACAGGCATGAACAACCCTGCCCAGCTCCTGAAGCTGTTTTATTTATTATTTTTATTTTGTGAATGAGTGTATTGCCTGCACATATGTTAAGTGCACCCAGGTCATGCAATGCCCATAGAGGACAGAAGAGGGTATCAGATTCCCCTAGAACTAGAGTTATAGATGGTTGTTGTCATGTGGGTGCTGGGAACCGAACCCAGGTCCTCTACAAGAGCAGCCAGTGCTCTTAACTGCTGAATCATCTCTCCAGCCAGTTTTCTAATGTTGTGTCTGCCTATGCTTTCTTTTTTTTTTTTTTGCTGCATGTGAGATTTATTACTGCACATGATTTGATGGGGCAAAGGATTCAAGCAGGAGTACAGCAGACCACTTGTCCTGGGGACTGCAACTGGAGATAGATTTGACCCCACAGTCATCAGAGATGAGCTGCTTCTCAGCTGCCATGTCATCTGACTAAACTTGCTGAAGTTCCACTTCTTTGAGATGTGGATCTTCTGGTGGCCTTGAACTTGAACTTGGCGCTAGGCAAGACTTTGATCACATGTTCCTTATTCTGCAGCTTGGTACAGAAGAAACTGACACAATGACATGTTGACCTGGCAAACATGAACCCTTTTCACTGTGCCCTGGGGCTTCCCAAAGGCACCCCACATAGCTGTCTGGGGCCTAGACAGGGGACAGTCTGAGATTGGAGACATGGTTACCAGAACTGTCTCCAAAGTTCCTTAGGGCAATCCATACATGCAACAGGCTGCACACACTACCTCGGAGGCTGCTGTTGTAGCCATTTCACATCAGACCCCCATACCCACATTCTTTTCAACTACTGTTCGCTTTTCTAAGTGATGAGCACTGTGTGAAGATGGATCAAGTGTCCACTTTTAATCCTCCCAGCAACCAAGAAAGGCAGGACTGTTAAACCCATCATTGTGATACAAACAGGCTCTAAGAGATTGTCTTGATTTAAGCAGGTGTCTTAGACTGAGGCTTAAAGCTTGATTTTTTTTTTTTTTCATGTGTATGAAATGTCTTGCCTACATGTAGGTAGGTGCACATGTGTCAAGCAATGCCTTCAGAGGTCAGAAGACAGTGTTGGATCCCCTGGAGCTGAAGTTACTGACAGTTGTTAGCCACCATGTGGGTGCTGGGAATTAAACCCAGGCCCCCTACACAAGAGCAGTCAGTGCTCTTAACAACTGAGCCATCTCTCCAGTCCCCAAAGCCCAGTCCTTCTGATGTTATTCCATTGTCTGGTAGTTTTCCTACCAGAACTCTTTCTTCTAGTCTGTCAATGAACAGTTACTAGAGATATTCAATGTGGGCTTGGGGGGTGGTTCTGTTGGTAAAGTGTATCTACCATGCAAGCATGAGGAGCTGAGTTTGGATCTCCAGAACCCACATAAAAAAGTTAAACATGATGGCACGTGCCTGTAACCAGGGGTGGAAGAACAGAGACAGACAGATTTTTGAAGCTCAATGACCAGCTAGCCTATCCATCTCAGTGAGAGATGCTGCCTCAAAAATAAGTAAAATAAAATAAAATAAAATAAATAAAAATAAAAATAAATAAATAAATAGCCAAAGCCAGGCATGGTGGTGCACACCTTGAATCCCAGCACTTGGGAAGCAGAGGCAGGTGGATCTCTGAGTTGAGGCTAGTCCAGTCTACATAGTGAGTTCCAGGTCAGCCAGGGCTACATAGTGATATCCTGTCTCAATTTTTTTTAATCAATTTTTTTCCCTCTCTGCAACATACTCAATTATACATTCTAATATTTCTTAAATAACCCATTTGTTAATTTACTCATTTAAAAGCTATCATTCGGGGCTGGAGAGGTGGCTCAGTGGTTAAGAACACTGGTTGTTCTTGCAGAAGACCCTGGTTCAAATCCCAGCACCCACATGGTAGCTAACAACTGTCCCTAACTCCAGTTCCAGGGAATCTGATGGCCTCTTCTCCTCCACAGGCATTGGATGACATGGGTGAACTTACCTACATGCAAGCAACACACTCATACACATAAAATAAAAATAATAAATAAAATATTTAAAAGCTATCATTCAATCAATGACATGTTTTATAATCTAACAAGACCCTAAAAAGATAATCTGCAAAGTGAACTATATTTAAAGATATGCTAAATCAACAGAAAGAGCTCACCTGATCTCCCAGGCTTGTGCGGCTGGGCAAAGGAAGTCATCAGACTGTGGGATTAAGATGTTAAAGAGGCGGGTGTGGTGGTGCACGCCTTTAATCCCAGCACTTGGGAGGCAGAGGCAGGCAGATCTTTGTGAGTTCGAGGCCAACCTGGTCTATATAGTGAGTTCCAGGGCAGCTGGGGCTATAAGGAGACCCTGTCTCAGAACAAAAACACACACACACACACACACACACACACACACACACACCACACACAAAGATGTTAAAGAAAAAGTGTGACTATCAGAAAGAGCCCATCCACCTTGAAAAAAATGGAACAGGTGCAAAGTGGACTGACCAACCAGAGCACAACAGAAGCTTTCAGAAGGCTCCATGCCCCAAACATCTACTGTCAAGTATCCTTAAACTATAGGGCCCTTCTTCCCAGGGCAAATTCCATTTCACTCAACAGAAAGGGCCCCTCCCTCGAATCCAAGGTTGTTTCTAGGAAGAGAACATGTCCAGTTCTCCAAAAGTGACTTTCTAGTCTTTTTGTTTTGTTGTGCTATGTTTGAGACAGGGTCTCATGTAGCCCAAAATTGTCTCAAGCTGATGCCTATAGCTGATGCTGACCTTGAGCTTCTGATCCCTCTGCGTCTACCTCAAAAAAGAAAATTTAGAAAAACTGTACACCAGTGTTTATTTTTCATCAAACTAAGAGCCCCCTTTCCTTATTCTTTGTTCCAACTTCTATCAAATAAACTCACAAAACTTCAAATGTAACTCAGACTAACCTCAAACTCACTATGTAAGGAAGATTTCTTTGAATTCCTGATGCTCTGACCTCCCAACCCAAATGCTGAAATTACAGGCATGAGCCACCACACCCAGCCCTCCATCTTTTTTTCTTTCTTTTTCTTTCTTTTTTTTTTTGCTTTTTGAGACAGGGTCTCCCTTGTAGCCCCAGCTATCCTGGACCTCGCTATGTAGACCAAGCTGGCCTAGAACACACAGAGATCTGCCTGCCTCTGCCTCCTGAGTGCAGGATTAAAGCGTGCGCCACCACACCCAGCCTCCATTTTGTTTCTTAAGCATTTTTTTCTCTCTTTCTGGTGTCTGAAAACTGTGTCAAGTAGCCCAGGCTGGTCTCCCTATATAGCAGACGCTGTCCTTGAACTTTTGATCCTCCTGCCTCTACCTCCCAAGTGCTGGGACTGCAGACATGCACCATCACTCCTGGCCTGTTAAGCAACATTTGAATACTTTGATGATCTATAGTGCTTTTTCTTTTTCTCTTTCCTCTTCCCTCTCCTTTCCTCCAACCCCCTATTCATTTGTTTTTGCAGTACTGGAGAACCCAGAAGTCTCAGGAATTTTAGGAACGTACTCTACCATTGTGCTAAATAGCCAGCCTTCTTTTTACTTTTTGTTTTTCTAGACAATGTCTCATTAAGTTACCCAAGCTGGCCTTGAACTCAGTTTCTGGGATTACCAGCCTGTGCCACCAAACTCAGTTGCCTTTTTCTTTTTTCTCTTTCTCCCCGCCCCCCCCCCCCTTTTAAAGACACGGTCTCCCTGCAGCCCCAGCTGGCCTAGAACTTGCTGTGTAGACCAGGCTGGCCACAAACTCACAGAGATCTGCCTTTCTCTGCCTATTTTCTTTTATCCTTTAAAAAATAAAATCTAGCCAGGTGTGTGGCACACGCCTTTAATCCTGGCACTGGGAAGGCAGAGACAGGCGGATCTACAGTAGGCCAGCCTGGTCTACATAATGAGTTCCAGGACAGCTGGGGCTACAGGGAGACCCTGTCTCAAAAAGACCAAAAATAATAATAATAATAATAATAATAATAATAATAATATAAAATCTTTAAATGGTTGGAAAAACTGCAAAGTGTCCTCTAAACTTGTGATTCTGTTGTAATCACTCTGCACAATCACCCATGGGCCAAATTCTTAGACTGATGCCTTCCTTCCAAGAACTGGGAAATACCTTAGATAGCTGCTGGCTGATACAGATAAGAACTCTCAGATTCAGAGGGGCCCCAACTTGCCCAAGGTTTTCCAGCAGGTCAGAGCTCTGCCAGGGGCCTCAATTCAAAGGAATGGCGTGCAGAAGAGCCACATTTCCACCTGATTCACGCTTTGTACCTGCCCATCCAGAAAGGTCAGGAACTGGGTTACCTAGGCTACTTCCTGCTTTTTAATTAAAAGGGTGCTTTCTCCCTTGGAGCACTTTCCACTCTCAGGAGTTTTCATTTTTTTTCCTTAATGAATCCATGTTCATTCTGCTTTAAAAAACTATAGGTGTTTTAGTAATTCATTTTAATAACAACTCTTGCGGGGGGGAAGAGATATGGCTCAGTAGTAAAGACCACATACTGCTCTCTCAGAGGAGCAGAGTTTAATTTCCAGTACCCACATCAGACAGCTCACAACTGCCTGTAACTCCAGCTTGAGGGGATCTGAAGCCTCTGGCCTCCTCAGGCAACTGCACAGGTGCACATACCTAAACAAACACACACATGCACATAATTAGAAATTAAATATATCTTAAGAAAATATACCAAGGGTCTGAAGAGATGGCTCTAGCCCCCCAAGGCTATTTCTTTTGCATGTGCATATGTGTGATGTGGTGTGGGGGGGGGTATATATGTGTTATTATGGGTGTGTGCATTCATGTGTATATGCATGCATGTGTGTGCATGTGCATGCATGCCTGTGGAGGCCTGAGGCCAACATCAAGTATCTTTTCCTAGATTGCTGTCCAAGACTAATTTTTTTTTTTTTTTTTTGGTCTTTTTTGAGACAGGGTCCCCCTGTAGCTTCAGCTGTCCTGGAACTCACTATGTAGACCAGGCTGGCCTCGAACTCACAGATCCACCCGCCTCTGCCTCCCAAGTGCTGGGATTAAAGGCGTGCGCCACCACACCCAGCTCAAGACTAATTTTTTTAATGGGGTATGTGTGTGTGTGTGTGTGTGTCTGTCTGTCTGTCTGTGTATGTGTGTGTGCAGGTGCCCACAGAGATGTAAGCCACCTGATGTGCTGGGAACCAAACTGAGGTCCTCTGCAAGAGCAGTATGCATTCTTAACAGTAGGGTTGCCTCTTCAGCCCCCAAGACTATTCTTAAAATTGAAAAAGAAAGAGCAACTGAACCACACTGGCAAACTCTTCAGGAAGGCACTTTTAAAAAAATTTTTTTATGTGTATGAGTATATTGCTTGCATATATGGACATGCACTCCTTGACTGAGGAGGTCAGAAGAAGGCATCAGATCCCCTGAAACTGGACTTACAGTTGTTTACAGTCATGTGGGTGTTGGGAATCGAACCCAAGAACCTCTGCAAGAGAAGCCAGTATTCTTAACCACTGAGCCACCTCTCCAGCCCAAGGAGGGCACTTTATTTGAATAACTGCACAAAGTATTGGAAAGTTATGGAAATTACAAAGTACAGAGGTCACCTCTTCTGTGGCCCACGGCTAGACCACAGTCCACACATCCCAGCCAGGATTATAATCCAGTGGGTAGAGAGGAAGTGATTCATGCCACCATGATGGGACCGTGGTGTGGCTCATAAAGTATGCCATACTCTCCTCAGGGCTGCTTTTTCCTCTGCTAACTGCTTGGCTCTCCCCAGGCAGCCCTGGTATCTGGTGTTGATAAAGGCAAAGCTGAGTCAGGTGTGGCAGTGCACACCTGTAATC